CAAAGCAAATCCGACAGGACCCCTATGATTCCAAGGGTTACACACACACACACAGCGCCACCTGTGCAAGGTCTGTGCTCTGTGCAGGATCAGCAGCTCACAACAGCGCACTGGGTCGTGTCTATGCCAAAGCAAGATCACCAGCCCACACCGGCGTGCTGAAGCAACTGGGCATCTGCAAGCGAAAGTTAAGTGCAGCTGGTGCGGGCACGCGAAGTGGGTGGTGTTTTCAAAGTCAAAATCATGTCTTCATTGTCCAGCTTGCCAAATACTCCGCGTACTTTACAGTTGTAATACAAAGTCGCCAGCTCGCATTTTCCAGCTCCCCAGATACTTAGCAGCGAGAGATGACTCACCAGCGAGAGATGACTCAGCAGTGAGAGATGACTCAGCAGCGAGAGATGACTCAGGAGCAAGAGATGACTCATCCGCGTACGAAAGTTGTACTACAATACAAAGTCGCCAGTTCTCAGCTTCTAGCTGCACAGATAGCTCCGCGTACTCAAGTTGTAGTACAAAGTCACCAGTCGCTCTCTGGCTTGCTGGCTAGCGCCTTCAAGCCATGGTCAGCTACATGTACGGATCCCAAAACAAAAGCAAGTCACACCCAGTCAACCCAGTCCAACCGCTGGTTCTTTACAAACAGTGTCCCTAGTCATGGTCAGCTATACGTACAGAATCCAAAACAAAACAAATCATACCCAGGCAACCCAATCCGACTGGACGGGTTCCAAAACAAAACAACATGCGTGTCCCCGGCCAGTCGCACGCCCTCCGGACTTTTTGACCACCACAGTGCCACCTGTGCAAGGTCTGTGCTATACCAAGGCAAGATCAGCAGCCCGCACCGGCGTGCTGAAGCATCTGGGCATCTGCAATTGAAATCAGCTGCTGCGGGCACGCGAAGTGGGTGGTGTTTTCAAAGTCAAAACCATTTCTTCCAACATTTGGTGTGCTCCTCCGTGCAAAAACAGCGAAACTGTTCCTCGTCGGGCAATGCATTTTCCGGCTGTCTGCGCATGGAGGTTCACAAAGTGCTGCGCCTACCACGACATCTGCACATGGAGGTTCACAAAGTGCTGTGCCTGCCACGAAATCTGCACATGGAGGTTCACAAAGTGCTGCACCTACCACGACATCTGCACATGGAGGTGCACAAAGTGCTGTGCCTGCCACGAAATCTGCACATGGAGGTTCACAAAGTGCTGCGCCTGCCACGAAATCTGCACATGGAGGTTCCCAAAGTGCTGTGCCTGCCAGGAAATCTGCACATGGAGGTACACAAAGTGCTGCGCCTGCCTCGAAATCTGCACATGGAGGTTCACAAAGTGCTGCACCTGCCACGAAA